GAAAAGAGAGGGATACCACAAATATTTTTAAGCTTTGTTCTCAAATCAATTAAGTTGCTTGGAAATAGTCTGAAACCTTTAGGTTTTCATTTCACACTTTGCTGGGTAATTCACAGCACATTTATTTTAGTGTTGGGTTGATTTTTTCCTCACCATTGAAGCAAGAATCTTATGAGTTGCCTCATTTAAGGTAAAAAATGTGTCACTTTTTGAAAAATAATTAAGCTTATTTATTTGAAAGGGAGAGTGAGAGAAAGAATGGGAGCAAGAGAGAGCAAGAGTGAGAGCAAGAAACACACAGAAGAGCTAGCATCTCTATCTACTAACTCATTCCCCAAATGTTCACAATGGTCAAGGGGCCACAGCTGGGAGCTGAGAAATAAATCAAAGTCCACATTTGTAGCATGAACCCAAGTACTTGAACCGTCATCACTGTCTCCCAGGGTCTGAATTAGCAAGCAGCTGTAATCAAGAGCTGGAGTCAGGAATCAAACCCATCTGATGTGAGACATGGTGTCTTAATTGGAGGAATAGCGAAAAGATGCACTGCTTTAGGCTAAGGGAAAATAGTAACAAAAAAAGTGGAGAAAGTATAATCCCAGAGGAGAGTTTGAGAGAAACCTGCAGAGGAAACTCTACAGAAGGAAGAGGGATGCCATGGATCATTGTGGAAGATAAAGTTGTGTAGCAATGAGCACAGACACGACACACAAGTCCTGCAGCTGAGAGTCGGTGGGAGCATCAGATTTGGAGAGAATGGTGAGAACAGACTGCAACAGCACTGGTGACGTTGCTGGAGGGAAAGCCTAGAGAACTACACTGCCTTTCAGTCCAGCCTGGTATCCTAAGGGGATAGAGTACCTGCATAACTCAGTGGAAAAAAAGGGGCACATTTCTCTCTCCCCATGCCCCCACAATGGTGCCCAGCACCTGGCTGGGAGAAGGCTCCATCTTGACACCAGAATGGGCCACAGCAGCTATTGTGCATGCACCAGCGACTGGCGGAGACGACACACTATTTTGACATCAGTACCAGCTGTGATGATTCTTGTGCACGCCTGGCAACTAGTGGGGAAAAGGCATCATTTTAACACCAGCAGTGGTCTGGTGGCTCCTGTGCCTGCACACAGCAACAGGGCAGGAGGGGTAGGGAGAGAAGGTGCCATTGTAGCATGAATAGTGGCTGAAGCAGCTCTTGTGCATGCATATGATTCAGGGATTTTGCCAGAGGGAAAAAATCACTGTCCCTTGCTGACTTTGAATATGACTGGGAGGATTGACAGGGGGCTGGGCACCCATGAAGGATTGTGAGGTATCCTCAGCCTCCCAACATACCACAGGATCCAGGGCTCAATCTGCACAGATGGAGCACCCACAGCCAGCCAGCTCTGGGAACATCTCTGCCTCTCTGTGGACGTGAGAGACTAGCGGGACAGAGAGGATGCTCTGCATCCCATAATGTGGGAGCCATGTGTGCTGCGACTGTGGAGATTCTATAACTGCCTGAATGGCACAGGATACAGCTGGGACTCTGGGCAATGATTGCACATGGTACCAAAAGTTGAGAGCTCCCTGATTGTCTGGGGTGGTTCATTGTATTGGAATCCATGCTCACAAGAGGACTGCACAGATCTTCACTGCAATTCATGTAGCAGCAATGGTGAGTGTTGCACCCACTGTGGTATAACCCAAGGTATTTATCTCCTTGGGGCCACATTCAGCTCTCACCTCTAAGCCAAAGAGGCATAGTTCAAAGATAAAAGCCATGAGAGGAGAAAACCCACAAATATTTCCACAAATACCTGGGAATAAATACATTCAAGAAACAAGAATAAGGAAGATAATACGACTCCCCCAAATGAACACTTCTATATGAGAATGTGAAGGCAAATAAATTGATGAAATTCCTGAAAAGGAATTTAAAAGATTAATCATAGGATTGCTCAGAAGCAATCAGAAGAAAAAATTTTCCATGATTGACATTGAAGAGAAATAAAACAGAAACATTAGAAATTTAGAATTCTGGCTGGTGCCGTGGCTCAATAGGCTAATCCTCCACCTGCGGCGCCAGCACACCAGGTTCTAGTCCTGATTGGGGCACTGCATTCTGTCCCGGTTACTCCTCTTCCATTCCAGCTCTATGCTGTAGCCCAGGAGTGCAGTGGAGGATGGCCCAAGTCCTTGGGCCCTGCACCCACATGGCAGCCCAGGAGAAGCACCTGGCTCCTGGCTTCAGATCAGTGTGGTGCACTGGTCACAGCACAGCGGCTGCAGCGGCCATTGGAGGGTGAACCAATGGTAAAAAAGGAAGACCTTTCTCTCTGTCTCCCTCTCTCACTGTCCACTCTGCCTGTCAAAAAAAAAAAAAAAAAAAAAAAAAAGAAAGAAAGAAATGAAGAAATGAAGAATTCTACATATCAAATAAAAAATACAGAGGAAAGCCTTGAAAACATACTTAGTGAGGCAGAAGAAAGAGTGCTTGAGCTAGAAGACAAATCTTTGGAAATTTCTCAATCAAAAAAAAAAGAAATAGAAAAATTAAAATTAGTGCTGGAGATTTATGGGATATTATCAAAGGGCCCAATATATGGGTCTTAGCATTTCTGAATATGGAAAGAAGGAATGGATTAGAAATCCTATTCAGTGAAATAATTAAAGAAAACTTTCTGATTTGGAGAAAGAAAGCCATCCAACTACACAAAGCACATAGAACTCCTAACAGATATAACTAGAAAAGACCTTCACCATGAGACATTGTAATCAAACTTATTCAACAGTAAAACTTAAAGAAATCATTCTAAAATATGCATTACAGAAATGCCAGATTACTTTCAGAGGATCTCCAATGAGTTTACAACCGATTTTTCATCAGAAACACTACAGGATAAAAGACAATGGAAAGTTGTAGTTCAAGGCTTAATGGTGCTTAAGGATGTGCTACATACAAAAACACAGAAAGATAGTCATCATTATGAAAAAAAATGAAGGCAGAATATCTGCCAGTAAAAAGGCAAAGGAAATCCAAAGCAAACAATAAGAATATTTACAGAAAAATGGCAGGGCCTACTTGCGATTTAACAATAGTAACCTTGAATCTAAGTGGCCTAAATTCTTCAATTCAAAGGTAAAAACTAGCTGAACAGATTAAAAAACAAGACCCATCTATTTTCTGCCAACAAGAAAACTACCTCACTAACAAAGATACAACAGAATGGAAGAAAACATTTGCAAACTATGAAACTGATAAATAGCTCTATAATTTTTATCCAGAATCTATAAAGAGCTCAAGAAACTCAACAACAACAGAACAAACCATCCAATTAAGAAATGGAAAAAGGACTTGAACAGGCACTTTTCAAAAGAGGAAATTCAAATGGCCAACATACACAAGACAGAATGTTCAGGATCACTAGCCATCAGGGAAATGCAAATCAAAACCACAGTGAGGATTCACCTACCCCAGTTAGAATGGCTCTCAGACAGAAATCCACAAACAGAAAATGCTGGCAAGGATGTAGGGAAAAAGGTTCCCTAACTCACCGTTGGTGAGAATGTGAACTAGTTATAGCCATTATGGAAGACAGTATGAAAATATCTCAGAAAGCTGAAAATAGTTCTACCATATGATCCAGCAATCCCACGCCTGAGACTGTACCCAAGGGGAGTGAGATCAGGATATAGAAGTATTACCTGTACCTCTATGTTCATTGCAGATCAATTCACAATAGCTAGAATGTGGAATCAACTCAGATGTCTATCAACTGATGACTGGATAAAGAAATATATATATATATATATATATATATATACACACACATACATACATGACTGGCACCATGGCTCACTAGGCTAATCCTTCACCTGTGGCACCAGCACCCTGGCTTCTAGTCCCAGTTGGGGTGCTGGATTCTGTCCCAGTTGTTCCTCTTCCAGTCCATCTCTCTGCTGTGGCCCAGGAAGGCAGTGGTTGGGCCCTGAACCCACATAGGAGACCAGGAGGAAGCACCTGGCTCCTGGCTTCGGATCAGTGCAGCGCACTGACTATAGTGGCCATTTGAGGGGTGAACCAACGGAAGGAAGACCTTTCTCTCTGTCTCTCTCACTGTCTAACTCTGCCTGTCAAAAAAAAAGTAAAAAGAAAAAAGAAATATATATATATATATATACACTCTATGTAATACTATTAAGCCATAAAAAATGAAATCCTGTCATTTGCAACAAAATGGATGCAGCTGCAAGCCATTATACTCAGTGACATAAACTAGTTTCAAAAGAAAAAAATACCATATATTTTCCCTGATCTGTGGTAACTAATATAGTACCTAAAATGTAATGTATTGTAGTGAAATTAACATTTTGAGATTTGATAATTATTTTCAGCTGTTGTTTTACTATTGAATAACAGTGTTTTTTTCTTCATACTGTTTATTGAACTCTTTACTTAGTATAGGTTAACCTTATGAGTATAAAGTAAATTGAAAGTACATCATTGTAAAAATTGAAAGAATATAAAAGGAAGGAGGAGGAAGGTTGAGATCATAGGTGGGAGGGAGGGTAAGGTAGAAAGTATTCCTGTTTCTAAATCTGTATATATGATATTCATGAACTTTGCATACTTCAAATAAAATAAAAATAAATTTAAAATAAGTAAATAACCACTAATCCAAATGTCTCTTCCATGATTCTTTTAAATGTCCCATGAATAAGCTATTTCCTTCCCTTTACTTCCTGACTCTACCTGGCACTCTCCTCCCTACCATTAACACCCAACACTAATCTAAGCAGGGTGCTTAATAGATTGTAAAGAATAAATGACCTCATTACTATGATTTTGAGAATGCTAAAAACAATTTTTAAAAACAACATTGTAGAAAGTAGAGTTATGGGTTTGGGCACAGGATTAAGATATTCAAACACAAGGAAACTTACCTGGACTCTCAAGCAGAATAATTAGGAACAAATACTAGTAACCCTTCAGGGAAGCTGTGAACCATTCTTACCATTTTGACACTTGGCAATGCAGAGGAGGTGATACATTCCCAAAGATGCTTGGCACGTGATTGAAGGATCATCATGAGAACACAAAAGAGACAGCTCTGCTGCCAAGACACCTAGACATGGAGCATCAACACTTGTCTAAAGGAGAAACAGGAAAATGCATTTGGTATACACAGTCAACATTAAATATCTGTATATGATCCTTTTATATATCAGACTCAAATTGAAGGATAAACTCAGGGTTTTCAGAATTTGTACTTAAATCCTGGCTTTGTCATTAAGTCTATTTCCTCATCTGTGAAATGAATATCACAAAAGCCACATTCTAACACTTACAGCGGGGATAAACAAATAAATAACATTTAGGACAAGAAAATCATTTGTAAAAATATTTGAGAACTATGCAACCAATAAAGGTTTAATAACCAGAATCTACAAAGAGATCAAGAAACTCCACAACATCAAAACAAACAACCCACTTAAAAGATGGGCCAAGAACCTCAACAGACATTTTTCAAAAGAAGAAATTCAAATGGCCAACAGACACATGAAAAAATGTTCAGGATCACTAGCAATCAAGGAAATGCAAATCAAAACCACAATGATGTTTTACCTCACCCTGGTTAGAATGGCTCACATTCAGAAATCTACCAACAATAGATGCTGGAGAGGATGTAGGGGAAAAGGGACACTAACCCACTGTTGGTGGGAATGCAAACTGGTAAAGCCGTTATGGAAGTCAGTTTGGAGATTCCTCAGAAACCTGAATATAACCCTACCATGCAACTCAGCCATCCCACTCCTTGATTTACCCAAAGGAAATTAAAATGGCAAATAAAAGAGCTGTCTGCACCTTAATGTTTATTGCAGCTCAATTCACAATAGCCTAGACATGGAATCAACCTAAATGTCCATCAACAGTAGAATGGATAAAAAAATTATTGGATATGTACTCTATAGAATATTATACAGCAGTAGAAAAAAATGAAATCCTGTCATTTGCAACAAAATGGAGGAATCTAGAAAATATCATGCTGAAATAATCCAGTCCCAAAGGGACAAATATCATATGATCAGTAACAACTAACTGAGCACATAAAAGGAAACTTGTTGAAGTGAAACAGACACTATGAGAAACAATGACTTGATCAGCCCTTGTCCTGATTGTCGAGGAACAACTTACTACTTTATTCCTTTTAGTAGTTTTTGTTGTTGTTCTATTTAATACCATTGGTTGAACTCTTTAATTAACACACAATTATTCTTAGGTGTTTAAATTTAACTGAAAAGTGAGCCCCATTAAATATAAGAGTGGGAATAAGAGAGGGGGGAGATGTACAGTTTGGCACATGTTCAATCGGATTTACCCCTAATGGTAGAATTAGAAACGTGCCAGGGGATTCCAATTCAATCCCATCAAGGTGACATGTACCATTGCCATCTCACTAGTCAAAGTGATCAGTTTCAGTTCATAATTGATCATAATGATAAGAATAAGAGTCAAAGAGATCACATAAACAAGACTAGTGTCTGCTAATACCAACTGATAGAATTAAAAAGGAGAGAACAATCCAACATGGGAAGTGGGATACACAGCAGACTCATAGAATGGCAGATGTCCTAAACAGCACTATGGCCTCAGAAACAGCCCTTAAGGCATTCAGATGTAGCTAAAAAGTCCACGAGAGTATTTAAGGTGTGGAAAGCCAAGACACTGTGGCAAAAAAAAAAAAGTGACCTAAATGAAAGATCTCTGTGAGTGAGATCCCAGTGGAAAGAATGGGCCATCAAAGAAGGAGGTACCTTTCTCTGAAGGGAGGAGATAACTTCCACTTTGACTATGACCTTGTCTAAATAAAATTGGAGTTGGAGAACTCAAGAGGCTTCCATAGCCTTGGCAGCCCATGACAAGAGCCTCTAGTGATTACTGACGTCATATATAAGAGTGTCAATTGTTAAATCAACAACAGGAGTCACTGTGCATTTACTCCTTAACGTGTTGTACTATGTGAATTAATGGTATAACTAGTACTCAAACAGTACTTTATACTTAGTGTTTCTGTGTGGGTGCAAACTGTTGAAATTTCTACTTAGTACATACTAAATTGATCTTCTGTATATAAAGATATTGAAAATGAATCTTGATGTGAATGGGATGGGAGAAGGAGTGGGAGATGAGTTCGTTGCGGGTGGGAGGGAGGTTATGGGGGGAAAAAGCTATTATAATCCAAAAGTTGTATTTAGGAAATTTATATTTACTAAATAAAAGTTTAAAAAAAGGAAAAAATCCTTTGTAAACAATAATGAATTGACTAATATTTATTTCTATTACATTAAGCAAGTAAAGCTTTGTAGGTAAAAAGTTCCTAGAATATAGAGGAGCAGGGTGAGCTATCAACTTCCAAATTCTTTGAGTGCGTCTTTCTTCACCCATGAGACACTTCAAATGAACCTGTCACTGGGGAAGTGTGATTTTCCCTCTTGGAATTGCTCTGACTCTTCCCAGGGAAATTCATTTCTAAAAATTCAGAGCATTTGCTATTTATTATTGTGATACCTTTATGTATCGCCCCCCCCACACCCACTCAATTTCTTTGCCACATAGGTTGTTCAATCTTGAGTAACATATGTGGCTACATAAAATATAAGAAGAGAAGCCGGCGCCGCGGCTCACTAGGCTAATCCTCCACCTTGCGGCGTCGGCACACCGGGTTCTAGTCCTGGTCGAGGCGCCGGATTCTGTCCCGGTTGCCCCCCTTCCAGACCAGCTCTCTGCTGTGGCCAGGGAGTGCAGTGGAGGATGGCCCAAGTGCTTGGGCCCTGCACCCCATGGGAGACCAGGAGAAGCACCTGGCTCCTGCCATCGGATCAGCGTGGTGCGCTGGCCGCGGCGGCCATTGGAGGGTGAACCAACAGCAAAGGAAGACCTTTCTCTCTGTTTCTCTCTCTCACTGTCCACTCTGCCTGTCAAAAAAAAAAAAAAAATTAAAAAAAAGTAAGAAGAGAGAGAGAGAGAGAGAAGCATGGAAATTAAAGAAGAGAGTGTAGGAGGCAAAGACACTTGAATTTTGCATTTTTTGAAACAAAAAAGTCTTTGCTAACATGCAGTTTGGCAAATAGTGGCATGGCCTCCTGGGTATTCTTATCTCTAAGACAAGTGACTACTATTCCTAGATAACTGCTATGATGGTTGGAGTAGGTATTGGTGATAAAAGTCAGACTTCAAGTAAACCTTGCCGGGGGACCAAAAGGCCTGCTGCTTCTGCTGTGTCCTTTTTTTCTTCTCCATGTCCCCTTATCTCTGCTCCTCATTTGGCTTAACTTACCTGTGTGTGAGTGTGTGTGTGCGTGTGTGTGAGTGTGTGTGTGTGTGTGTGTTGGGAAGGCAGCAGCAGAGAGAGTACCTGAGAAAAAGCTCCAATGTGACCTAGGTTCATGGGCCATAATGGAATTGGAATGATAGGAATGATGGTCTCAGTTGGAGACAGGAAGATAATTGCTATCTCCTGTGTATGTTCCTCTTCAATTTTTTTGGCCCATACTTTTGAAAAAGGCTGGCTTAGGACTCCCAGTTTTAGGAGACCTATAACTTCTAGAATCTAGAAGCAGATTTTAGGAGATGCATCTACTCTAGGCCCTAAGGAGAAATAGTTTTGTTTCCTGGGGTGTCCTTTTCGCTGTATGTGCATTCCGGATTTCCCTTTTCCATCTGATGGCAAGATCTGAAGGACCACCATTGTGTTATGGGTTGGAGTTCTCTGTTGGGCATGATGGAGGAGACACACTTGTCGTAGATTAGATTCACTGATGTTGGGGGCATTTGCCTGGGACTGGCCCTCAGATCTCACTGAATTACAGTTTTTGCCTTGAATATCCTCTCTGGTTAGTCCCTCTCATGAACTTGTGGATGTGTAATTCTCAGCCAGTGTTTTCAAAGGAACACAAGATCTGTCTAGGTGGATGTCTCTAGCAGAGTAGGTATGTCCAGGTCTAGGTTGTGTTTTTCCTTACCTTCACCTACTAAAAAGGTGAGTGTTTAGAGAATGCAGAATGACCTAGTATAGGCTGTGAGAGGAACAAGGCAGTGAAGATGGTGGAGCACACTGATTCTACCTTTCACAGTCTGTTTGGATGTGGACCAACCACAGGTTACACCTCCTCAAAACCAGGCTTTGAGAACTTTCAATATAACATGGCTTTTATACAAAATATATACAATGACTATGAAAAATCCATAACTGAAGACCTGAAGAAGTAGCTTCTCAATTCTCACTCCACAACCTAGGTGCTCTTGTTGGGTTTTCTGGTCTTTACCAGAGCCTTTCTTCTTTGCAGATCTGCCTCTCCAATTCCTTGTCCTAACAATGCTAATAATTTTAAGTGTTAGATTTTAGAGGCAATTAGTCCTAAGTGTTTTGAGTTCCTTCCTCTAGAAGTGACTCCTGTAGCTCTAAACAATGTATTTCCACTTCTGTTTTTAACATCAATTTTGGACAATGCCTAAGTATTCCTGCCATAATAAATTGGTATTTAGCTCAATTACATGTCTCCACTTTGCCACAATATTTTGAATAGAATTTGTTACTCATCACAGTATACAAGAGTACTTTAAAACTATTGTGAAAAATGCATCAAAATGCTTTTTATTTAGGTGCAAAAATGGAAATCCATGCAATATAAAAATTGTATAACGCTTTTCATGAACTTTTTATGACACCTCATGTTGCCATTTTTAATTCTTTTACTCTTTGTTTTGATAATATAGTAACACTTGCTCCATAAAACAGGGAAATCTTGTAGTTCTTCAGCTTAATAGTGTGAGCAAATTGGAGCAGTCTTATTTTCTTCAACTTCCCTCCACCACCTTCTCCTTTCAAACTTCTGTTACGTGTAGTTTACTTTTTGCATTCTTCATTACAATAAAAGATTTTGTAACAAAAAACTTACCAATATATCCATTTTTAACAATTCATTGTTGTGTGAGAAGCATATCTATGCTATACCAAACATTTTCATCACCAAAAGTAGAAACTGTTTCCCATTAAGAAGTTATTTATTGCCCCTCTCTTTCCATCCCTGTCAATCACAAATCTGCTTTCTGTCTCTAAGGATTTTCCTATTCTATTATTTCTATAAAT